TCAAACCTATTGAGGATTAAGAGGCTTTTAAAAGAATTTCAGGAATCAGCAAATGGAGGAGAAAAGCGTTTTAGGCAAAGGATTCTTGCTTCCCCTAGAAATTATGCCTGCTCTGCTTTCATTAAGACTGACCTTGTTTATACTTTTAAAAATATGAATTCTGAACATATGATTCACTTTAGAGTTACAGGCTTTGCTATTTGTGTAAAATTACCAATTTACCTCATACTTCAGTAAATGTTAGCAAGAATGCACCTTTGTAAATGAATGTTAAGGTAGCAGTCTTTTTACCCTATTTAGCCAGTCTCAAATCCCCTAATTCCTTTGTGGAAGTTTCTTCCCCTCAGTAATCTAGAATGCTGTCAAATTTTCTTCTGAAACCAAACCACCAAAATGTTTTGGTTTAAAAGACAACTTTAGATTTCATTTCTTTTTTCCTTATCTGCTATTAAAGAATAGCAGCTACTAAAGTAAAGAAAAACATGTTAGACTGATAAACTTGAAAAGTTTTTTGTAGTTGTGTCTCCTGAACAGCTAGTTAAAAGAAATAATGGCTTAATTTTGTTCTAGTTATAAAAACAGTAATTAGTGTTGAATCTTCAGATAAAATATATTTCTCTAACATAAAGACTTTAAATACCCTCTCTATTTTACTAACCATGTATAGATGAATCCCTGGCTTGTGTGTATGTGTGTGTGTGTGTGTGTGTGTGTGTGTGGTCTATTCACCAGACCAGGCTGCCTTTGATAGTAATCCCTAAATAGATACTAAGATCATCTACAAAAACATCATAGGTTTAAACATTTAAGTCAAAATGCATGATATAATGTAACGTTCATTTACTAATAATTTATATCTCAAGAGGAAAAGTGTAAATAATATAGTTATTACCGAGTTTTTCTTTGCTTGTAGTTCAGAGAAGTGAAATTCAGCTTTTGCCCTATCATCTGAATTCACAGGAATTCCATCTAACATCTGTAAGTTAGGCAGTCGAAATATGAGCACATGGCGATGTACCATTTTCCTACAAATCTGCATAAAGTTAAAAATAATAATTTATTCCTAAAAAACCCTTTGATTTCAAAGATTAATCTTTATATAGAAGGGAATTTAGCATAGGTAGTAAAGATGACAGATAATAGCTAATTAATAGTAATAGATGCTACCGATATGAACCCCCTTTTTGAAAAATTGCTCACTTTCCTACCATGCCCAATGAAGAAATTTTTTTTTAGCTGAGGCTACCATGTATTGGTTTAGTCTCCTTTTAGACTAAGAGTAGTATTGATTAGCTACAAGCAGTCTCAACTCATGAATAGGATTATATTATGCAAGTTCACGTATAAGTAATTAGCTTGAAACTTACATGATATTTTTCTATAGGCACTATCCAATTTAATTCAGTACACATCTGCTGAACTGTATGATCCATCTCTTCATAGTATTAGCATACTCTAAAAAATTTGCATATGTACATAAGAAGGTGTGTAGAAAGAGTGAATAAAATAGACCTGAGGCTGTTAACTTTAGAAGGGTCTACTTGCAAGGATGGCTCTGGCTGGTGTTTGATATTTGGTATTTTGTGAATGTTCCTGCCATTCCTTAACTGATAAGGCTACTTCACTATGCCTAGCCTATTAATACAAACAATATGATTGATGTTTACCCTTATTTCCTTTTGGGAGTCTGCAATTTGGCACATGATAGGGAAAGGGTGCCTATGTGACCAACCCCCAACAAAATCCTTGAATGCTGAGTTTCTGATGGGCTGTCTTGGGTAGAAGCATAACACACAAGTTGCTGCATTTTTGTTGCTGGGTGAAGAGTGTGCTCTGTATGACCCCTTATGGGAGAGAAAGAACATAAGGAAGCCTGCACATGGATTCCTCCAGACTCTGCCTGTGTTTTTTCCCCCTTATCATCTAGGTATATATCCTTACTATGTCACAGTAATAAATCTTAGCCATAAATATAACTATATGCTGAGTCCATGAGTCCTTTTCTAGCAAATTTCTGAACATAGGGGTGATCCTGGGGACTGCCAACACAGAAAGCATGCAGTGATGTTTGTAATAGTAAACAAAAAAGAAAGAAGAAAAAAGAAACTATCAAAATGAAATGAATAAACTTTCTATTTTAAAAAGAATGTAGTAGCTTTATATACTAATGGAGAAATATTTCTGACACACGTAATTGAGTAAAAAACCTGAACACATTCTAGGCCACAAAGCAAGTTTCATAAATACCAAAGAATATATAAATAGACTTTTTCCTCTTACTAAAATATAATAACATTAGAAAGAAATGACAAAGGTGACTAAAAACACCACATAGATTTGAATTTAATATACATATACCCCTCAATAACTCAGGAGTTAAAGAAGAAATCTTTTGGAAAATAGAAGATTTTAAGAAATAAAAATCAGTAAAAACATTAACATATCAAAATGTTTAGGATGCTCCTAAAGAGGTACTGTGTAACCTAAAATTGACTGATTGATTCAGAAGACATACTAAAGATTAATGAACTAGATCTACTAAAGAATTTTTTTATAAAGTAAATTTCAAGAAACCAAAAGAAGGAAGTAATAAAGTATAGAAATTAATGAAATAGAAAACAAGGAAATAATACACTTGATAAAACCAAAATATGGTTCTTTAAAGAAACTATTACAGTAGAAAAACCTTTAGCAAGATTTATCAA